GACTTTGCTTTCTATAGTATTGAAATCACTCAGATAAAAATGACAATTCAGTAACCACAAGCTTGCTTTAAAGCTCATTTAAAGAAAACATAAAGGCAAGCTTTAATAAATCATAAATACAATATCACCACAAAGAAGAGTTCAGGAATTTGGGGTGCAAGTGTTCTGAGCATATTTTGTATTATCAGCAGCATGGCAATAGACGTGTGACTCTCTACCATATACACTGGATACATGCCAATTTCTTAAAGAAGGAATTTTAGTACCTTAACATGAATGATTTAAGATTTCCATTAGTGAAAGTGTCTGTATTGTTTATAAGAGAGCATTATGAAGAATAAAAGGTTTGGGTCTCGTGAAATGGCTCAGAATACAAAAGTCCTTTTCATACAAACTAGATGACCTGAATTCAATCAGAGAATTCCATGTTTAATGAGAAAATTCACTTTAAAGAATTATACCCTGACCTTCACAAATACACCCTGATGGGAGATGTCGTTCTGTAAATATGTTTCTCATATTGGTTAATGAATAAAGCACTGTTGGCCAATAGGAAAGCAAGATAGGCAGGACTAGGAGACAAGGTGGATTCAGGGAGAGGTAGGAGGAGAGTGAACATGTAGGACCAAGAGAGCACAGGTCTAGCCCCTCTCTCTGGTAAGATAAGACCATGTGGAAATACTTAGATTGATAGAAATGGGTTAATATTTAAGACAAAGCTAGCCAATAAGAAACACTAGTAACTAGCCAACAGTGCCTTATTCATTAACAAGAAGCATATTTACAGAATGACATCTCCCATCTACACCCAAACTCACACAAACCCAGAATAACACACACACAAACACACATGCACACACAAACACATATAAACACTAATAATAATTAAATAAAAAAAGAAAGGAAATAAATGTTTTTAGTAACAGACTGGCTAAAATTTGCATATTTGATAGCAGTGTGATTTTTACTTCATTAAATTAGTATTTAAAATAATACATTAATAACATTCATTTAGAGGATCTGTTTTTTTTTTTTCTTTCAATGGTGTTGAGAACCAATTCTAGGGCATTGAATATGGTGAGGAGGTTGCCACTGTGTTGTATGCCCAGGCCTTAGGATAATTTGACCTTGATTTTCTCACTAACCACTACCCTCTACCTCATGTTATTATTTCCCTATATTTGAAAGGCATTATTTTAATTCTTCAATGTTTGCAGAAATTAATCATTAGATTATATAAGGACAAGAATTCAACAACAAAATTATTATTATTGTTCTTTTTCATTTATTGTTGCTAATTTACTATGTTATTTTGTTCTTTTTGTGACTTTCAGGCCTCTTTGCAATGAGGAAAAATCATGTCTCATTCATACATTGGGAATAAATTGTTGGCTTAAAATACTGAATTTGAGGTGCACAGAGGAAAGTAATCAGTGGCATCTAGCAAACATTGCATATGTAAAAACTGTATATTAAGTAATTGGAAAATTATCTTATTCATTTATTTAATCACTAAATCATTATGGATTAAGTGAAAACTAGATGCAAGGTGTTTCTCTGGGTGTTTCAACTCAGAAGAACCTTCTCAGAATATATTTTAATATAGGAATAAACCATAAATAGTAAATTTAACAGCAATAAGTAAATAAATAAATAAATATTGGAGTCTTAACTTAGAGCAGTTGGGAGTAGTGGAGGATTAGATAGAAATACTTTAAAATTAAACGATGAAATAATTATCTAAAAGTGAATAGGAGAGCAGAAAGTAAAACAAGGTAAAGTGTGGTAAGACTTTATAGGTCAAGGACATTAGGAATTAAATAAATAGCAATTTTCACTTATATAATGAATGCAAAAAAGAAATAACTAGGGGTTTATCCTGCCTTCAGATGATTCTCATTTTTATTTAAATATAATGAAGTCTCTCAATGTTAGGTAACAAATGAAACCAAAACAATATGTTATATTTTTAGTACACTGAGGCTAAGGTACCTATCATCCAAAAAATACCAAAATATTTTACTTTAAGTACATTATGTAAATAAGAACTTCCTCTGTAATATAAGGTACACACATTTTAATACCTTTAATTTTCTTAGTATTACTTGTGAATACAACTTTATTTTTTGAAACTCTTTTAATAATACCAAATACATTTTTTGTAATGCTATATAGATTTCAAAATAAATTTTTGTCCATTTCAAGCATAACAAAATAATATTCAGAAGTATTTACAAGTATATAATATTTAAATACCGTTACCAAAAATTAAACATTTATAAATATGTAATGTTTATAAATTTTATAATATGTCCTAAGTTGATAATAGTAACAAATCTAAAATCACAAGATAAAATAAAACAGTCACTTTAAATATTTCCTATAAGTGCATGCCCCTTTGGATTAAGTAAGGTAATAAAAAATACAAAGCACTTCACAGACTTTTTCTCTTACACAAGAAATGCTCCATAGATGCCTATATACAGATACATTGCACAGCATGACCTCAATGTCATTAAATTGATTGTATGGAAATGTGATAGGGCTTTGCCACAAAACAAATGACTAAGTAAAAGGTATAGAAGTCTACTTGAATAAATTTAAAAATGGTGCTGTTTTATTTTAGCAGGGAGCCTGAGAGAGGAAGGGTGCTGGTGAATTTCTGCTGCTTTGTTTAGAGCTTTCATTGTGCAGTGGCAGATTTAGTACAACTTTGATTTATTACTAAACTTGATTGTTCTCTACAAATGACTAAATTTCTCTTAAAGAAGTGTGCTGTAAGGATGTTCTGATCATCTGTTTTCATTTGTAATATAATTATCATGCAGTGTTTGGTTTAGAACCCTAGATGTCATCATTCTTTCCTTCAGTTATTTCTGGCAAGCTGTCATACACTTAGTCGTATGAACCCTGTCTTACAAATTCTATCACAGTGCTTCAAAATGCACAAAATGCAAAGTTCCACCGGGATTTCTCCACTCAGAACTCTTTTTTCCAGTTACTGATAGATACTGTGAACATTGAGCTCAAAGTATTTTATTTCTACAAAAATATTATAAGAAGAATACATGCTATTCCTGAATTTACAATGCTTAATGATGTTTTCATCAGATAAATTAAATCATTTATGATATTTTATGATGAGAACATATATCTAAATACATGTAGTACAATTATTGTTTATTACACAGCATATAAACTATTACATCAATTTACAGACTAGATAACAAACAATAAACATTCTGTTTTTCAAACAATACAACTTTGTAAGTTAGTTTTTGACTCTTCAGTCTCACCAAAGGATTTTACATGACTGAGAATAAAAATTCTAACTCATATATGCATTACTAAAAAAGGTACCCTTTATTATACTATGTTAATAATAGATGTAAATAGGATTTTTAAAAATGTAAATAAAAAGAACTGGCTATAAATATGCTTTAGAAAGTTATCCCAAAGTATGTGGGCATAACTGTAGTTTCAAATAAAAAAATTTAATCTTTATGCTAAAAATAATGGGGAATTATAAATGCCGTTGTGATTATTGGATTATAAATAAACACTAATTAATTCTACCCTTTTTCTATTATTCTGTAGTAGCTTGATATGCACAATTCACTTCTTCATAATGAAGTTTTCAAATAGAGTTTGTTTTATATCATCTACATTTTGTAAAAAAAATAGAATTATAGTGGTAATGCACAAATGCAGACATAAGTAATATCTGTACAAAAACATACTAATAAGAGAAATTTCATGATTATTGTTACCTAGACATTTGAATCCCAACTGTGTGTTTGATTGAAAACAGGTAGTTTTACTGAAATTTTAAGGAAAATTTTTAGTTGGTATGAGTCTGATACATTAAACAATTTCTCTGTTTTATGTGAAAGTACATGTAAACAAGGCTATAGTTGTGTTTTGCAGATCTTAATTCTTAGGAAACATTATTGAAAAACAATAAAAGCTATATTATGGAAGGCTTGTTGTAAGAAGATGATTTTTCTAGTGGCTGCCAGATCCACCCCACCTGTCCATCTCATTGAGATCACTTACCTTGTTTCAGTGTCAGACAAATAAAGTTGTCTGAGTGCAGGCATGTTTCAAGGTGCTTTAACTTTCTAACTAGCTCCCCCACCCAGGACTCATCTCTGGAAAACAAAAATCTTTATTCTGATATCCCATTGTGTGCCCTCATGATTTATTTCTTTATATACAAACACAGGTCAAGTTGAGCAGAAAACTACATTACTGGCCGTGTGTGTGTGTGTGTGTGTGTGTGTGTGTGTGTAGGGGGAGATCAGTTGAGGTGACTAAATGGAGTGTATCTGTACTAAAAGAAAATACAAAGTCACTTCATTTACTCCTGCAATGTATTTTCCGGCTCACAGAATTCCCCCAAATAAGTGCACACTGCCTCACTCAAAATGATTTCCAGTTAAGGATCTGTAAGTGGATGTACACATCTCTAAATAACCAAATGAATCTAAATTTTTAAGTATGTGCCTTGAATAGAAAAAAAAAAATAGGACTTCGGTAGTCTGGTTGCAAACTTTGTCTAAAGCACCGATTGTGAAATCAAGTCCTCTGTCAATGACAGAAGGTTCCAGTGCGGTGCCTGTTTCATAATGCTGTGTACAGCTGACTCTCTGCAGCTAAGTTGCCTGCAAAGACTGAACTGGAGCATGAGAGTCCTTTTGATTAACAAATTCCCGCAAAATACACCCCTCTTCCCCACCTACAAACCCCCAGGAGCTGTAGTGATGTCATATCCGTTGTTCAGGTCTCCACACCTCTCAGCAGTTACTCCCTTTCTCTTCTTGGGTCAAAACTTTTGAGGTGGGCTGGATAGCTAACAGAAGGAGAGAGGGTAAACCTGGGCGCACCAGGTGGAGGCGCTTCAGCACCTCGGCCAGCGCCCGCTGCAGCTGGTCCCAGCCTTCTGAGCTCTCGACTCCCCACTCTGAGATGCCTGCGGAATGATCGCCCCCCAGGGCGGCTGCCGCTGCTGCTACTGCTGCCGCTGCTGCCTCTGCCTCCACTCTGCTCTAACTGGCAGGCAGAAAGTGCAACTGACGTGGGAAAGGTCTCCGCAGTGAGTGGAGTGGCTACATAAAACAGAGTAAAGAGAGGCAAAACCCACATCAGAATGCAGGCGAGGTCCAGCCTTCTCAACCTCCTTCTTCTGTCTTTACTTGCTGGATTAGATCCTTCCAAGGTAGGGGCAATATTTTGACTCTTTTGAAATAAATGTGCAAAATGTAATGACCTGATCAAGATGGGTGGGTGTTCAAAACGGCATGGGTGATTGTTCTTTCAGCTACCCTGTGGTGCCTGGTGCATCTACACAGCTTGAAAGATAACAAGGTGAACTACCAGAGGTAGAGTCCTGGTGTGAGGGGGGAGGGACCAGAGCGAAGAAAATGTATGTGGGTAGTAGGCAATGCGGTTCTCCCGGGAATTTAGCTTATTTGCTGTCCATCTGCTTAATGTTATCTTCTGAAGTAGGACGGGCCATCCAAGGGAGTTTGTAGCAGAAACAATGCAGTTTATAGCTTGTGTTAGATGGTGAGCGGTCTCTTTGTTGAAAGCAGGGAAGCGTTTTCCAGCCTATGCTGGTCAATAATACTCCCATCGCAGACGTGCTGCGGTTTGTGTCCAAAACATTGGGGAGGCTGCTTGTAACCCGCGATAGAACAGCAAAGCTACACTGTCTGCCTGGTCAAAAGACCTTGTGAGAGGGACTTTGTGTTTCTTTTCTTCTGCTGAAGAAAATTAGGGAACCCCGAGGAAGTTCTGGTGATCCATGTTAAGAGACAGGAAGTAAGAAGCCTCTTAAACTAAGGAGGGCAATAGAAAGGATGAGTTATGATATAGCTGTGGAACTCTGTAAATTATCCAGCAATGAAAGTGAACGCTCAGCTTATCTGTTACAAAGCAGGGAACGATGGAAAAATATTTTTCAGCGATGTGTAAGGAAAGCCTTAATGATAACGAGTGGTCATTTCTGAGAGGCAGGCATTCTAAGAAATGCATAGTTCTCTAGAATAAGGGATGATACAATTGATAGAGTAAGAGATGGAAAGAATTTATTATTTTTCCATCCATAGCTAGTAATCAACATTGTGACATGATTGGAAAAAAATGATGACATATTATAAATATTACTCAATGCTGTATTCCGAATGCTGTGAAGTTATTTTATGGGTTAACATTGTCTGTGTAATTAAAGAAAATAATTGAGTATAACTAAGGTGTAACCAACTATAATCTATCAGTGTGATTGTGGTATTCCAATGCCTACCATAGTAGATGGTGTGAACTATAATGGTATAATAATATTGCAGGGTTTTCATATTTAAAGGCATCTGAGGAAAATAAAACAATTTCAATCTAAACCTATAGTTGTCCTGACATTGACATTCTGAAAGCTCCAAACAACATGTGAGAGCCATCTTAATAAGCCTAATGACATATCGTGTATACTAAAGTATAGCTGTAAAGCATTTTATATCATATAAAATATCTCATATATGTATATATATATATATATAAATATATATAAATATGTATTTCCTTTTGTTCCTGTCCCCATAACACATAGTAATATATTCTATTGTCACTTTCAATTGATATTGGCTAAAACTTGTGACTTCATTTTCTTATCAATATAATTTTGAATGTCTTGTTAAAGCATACATTTAAAAACACAATTAATAAGTAAGTACAGAATAAGTTCCTATACTTAAATTGGACTATGGCTTTCTTTGAGAATTTGAGACTGTGGGTTCTTGTTGGCTGCTGTATGATTCACTGAATGTGTCTGGGATCTTTAATATATAAATACCATAATAGTTGACAGTTAGTTCTTACTATGTTACTAAATAAAGAGATCACCAAATAAGCATCCTTTCTTTGGTTAATTTGATTTTTTTTATTTTCATGACACATTTGAATATTCAATAGTTTAAAACTTTCCAATTATGTCACTCCAAACTCTGAGTACTGGGTAGCACTGAGTTGAGAAATCCAAAAGAGAAGAGGAATTCATTCACTGGAGTCCATTCACTTTTCAAACTGTTCTCAGCTTTCAAATATTTCAAGATAACACTAAAAGGCTTCATCATGATATTTTGCTATATTTCAATGAACTAACAGATAATATTAAGAATTTGGACTAAGTAATTTAATATAAACATGTTTTAGATTTGTAGATAAAACAGCACTTTTATGAGTGAATAGAGCCCAATTTTATGTTTACCAAACTAGTTTTGCTTAACAAGCTTTATCAAACAAAATATTTCGAATAATTACACTGTGCTCTCAAAATAATTCTCAATCAGCCTAGAAAGTAAACATTTTCTAAACTTTGATTCAGTTCTGTTCTAGTTAAAAGTTTAGATTTTTAAAGATAAGAATTTGAAAAGTTATATTTTATGAATAAAATAAAAATGTAAAGAATATACCGGTTCTGATAACTATTGCTTGGGGACACAAGAACATTTCTTAAGAAATGAGACAGAAATAGTTAGAAACGCTAATAAGCTTCTGTTCTCATGTTAGCATGCTAGGACACTAGTCCAACTTGAGTTTCAAAAAGAGATCTACATCTTTGGTGACCTTATAACATGTATTTATAATACAAATATGATCATGTATGGATTCAGAGAAAATGGGCAAGGAGAAGATCTCTTGAAATTTTAAGATATAAGATTATACCCATATCAGATAGCACCACTCTAAATCTCTGTTTGTTTTCTAATTTACTTTTCTTTAAAAGATAGAAATTTATCATCACCATTATCAAATTCCATCTTGTGAAAGACTATATAATGATTGAATCTATGGATTGCCCTTCCCATACCATAATTGGGGTTTAGCTGTATTTATGATAATGGATATAGTACCTAAATAATCCCATATTATAGTAAATTACTTTGAAACTGTTTTTATTACAATTTTAAAATGTTTAAACATCTGTATTCCTAGAATAAACTCCACTTTCAGCACATACCCAATCCCTTTCTTCTCATTTAATACAATAGAAAATTGGAAAGATTAGTATTCCCTGCCATAGGAAGGAAATTCATCACTAATTAATTATTTGTATTTTCATTTAGAAATATTGATTTTTTTCTCAGTAAATTTATTTGAATTATGTTTTCTTAATTAAAGTCTAATTAACAAGTGCTCAGATCCTTTTAGAAAAAATGTAAACACATAAGCATATGACAATGTCTATTTTAAGAGATGCCAATCAATTCAACTGTGATGAAATTTCTGAGTTATAGGCAATATGCCATAAAATTATTAAATGTTAAAACTGAGACCTGTCCAGATTGACTTAATTCTCAGTTTCATAGACAGAGAAGCATATATGGGTAGGAAAATCCTGGCAGTGGCTGCTAGATGGCATCTCTGTGCTTTTAAACTGAAGGCAATGAGTTCAGTAATGACCTTGATAGCAGAGTGGGCTTCTTTATTCTTTCACAAGAAAAAATTTAAACACATTATTTGAACTTTATAGCAAAACACAATCCTCATGAATCAGAACTGCAGAGTGTTTTCCTCTACAAATCTAGTTGGGAGATCGTAAACTTATCAGAGACTTTAAACGGAGTTTATACTAAAGCCCCACTTAAGGAACACTTCAAAAGAGGTGAGATGGGCATATCTATACATGGCTGAGATTGCTAGACTTTAAGGAATCAGTAGTTATAATCTAAATATTTTGCACAATGTCTTGCTAAGAGAACATTGCTTGAATGGCAGAAGCACACTATCTTCTTAGTACTAAAAAAATTGTTTTGAACACAATGAAGCTCACTCACATCACAGACACAAACTATAACTGTGATTCAGCAATAATGTCCAGCACAAAACTGTTTTGTTCTAGCCAAGACAGCATAGGAAGAATTCTTGCCCCAAATACTGTAAGAAATTAATGTGACTGTGAAGGGAACTAAGGGTATTTCAATAATCATATTACTAAATACCTCACATTTCTCATTCAAATGATCACCCAAGTTAGAAAAGAAAATATATCAATGGTATTTGGAAAGACTATATAATTACACACCAGAAACATTGGTATAATAAATAACTAGAGTTCAAGGTAGCCCATCTATATTTTGGAATTGCAAAACCTTCCCACTCTCATTTTGTGTAAATATTTGATAACCTAATTGAAGTTTTACTTTGAAAAAGTAATTTTTTTTCTTACTCTTTTTTTTTTCAGGAAAGTTGAAAAGTTTACAATGGTACTGATTTTCTTCATCTTTCTAAAAAAGTATAGTCTATATCTTGAAACTGATTGTTGTGTGATCACCACTCACTAACAGAAGAAAACACTTAGGTCCATCATTTCTATACCTAACTCTCCTCTTGTTAATGTGTCTTTTCATGACACTGTGGGAAAACATGGTACCAGGGCCTCTAATATGAAACCATTAGCCATGGTGGTCTTATGTATATACACATGTATGTTGCATGTATACATGTACGTTCATATGAGTTTGGGCAGATACACATGGAATATGTGTGCAATGTATGTGTGTCTGTACCTGTGTTAATGTAGAGCATCTTCCCTGACAATGCTTCACTTTATTTACTTAGGTAGGATTTCTCATTGAATCCTGAGCTTGCTGATTTAACTGTTCTAGCCAGTAGCTTTCTGAAGAGATTCCTGGTTTCCACCTCCAGAATGTTCTGGGATTATTGGCATCCAGAAGGCCCACCATAGGAAGATCAGGAATAAGAGGCTGACTCTTACAACACAGTTAATGTTTTATGAACTTAGCATTCTTCCTAGCTTTATATTCTCAAGACTTATTTCTTGGACCCTATGATAATTCTCTAATTCCTTAATAATATTTGATAATTCGTCAACATTTGCTATATTCCCTTATGGTATATACTTAGTGAGATCACAAAATTAGAAGGCCTGAAGATGAACCTCTAAGCAAATTGCATGCTGTTTTTAATCTTGTGTTTGGAATTCAGGGTCTCCAATTGGTTGGTCTCTATACCATTCTCCTGTTCTAACTCCTCTTGCATGAGACATGGTTTCAGACTTCTTTCTAATCACCCATCAAGCCTGACAAGATCATTTACCTGTCTATTGATGCTGAAGACCAATATTTCGTACTTCAAACAAAAATGTTTTATTTATTAACACATTCCCTTTGAAAAGCAAAGTGAGAACTGATTTCTTCTCTT